CTAACTTCTCATAGACTGAAACCTCAAAAATTAAACCATAACAAGCCTCTTATCTTAATGAGTTGATTATCTTAGGGATTTGTAACAGTGAGAGATAGCTAACCAACACAGCTGAATGGCTCTGTTTTCATAAGCATTATATAATGTTAAATAATATACATTCATCCACTGAAGTAGTAAATTTAGCAAGGCCATAGGGAGACTAAAACCCTTGTACTTATAGTCAACATTAATAAAATAGTAAATGAAATAAAAGCATCAACAATTATGAGTCTGCCTTTGTCTGGATAGTGTTGCTTTACCATGCTATCTCCTGTGAACATGTGAGAAATTCAGAGCAGCCCAATGACAGGCCCTTTTTTCAATTAAACACAGCTGCTATTGTATCTTCCAGCAGGAGCATTCCTTCCTAGGTACTTCCAGGCTGGCTTAGCCCAGAGCTGAAGTGGAAAGAGCAAAAGTTCCATGAGTAATAATACTAATAACAGAAGGAATCCTTTCTAATTTTCCCGAATCCCCAGACTCATCTATTCTTGTTATTAAAGAGTACAATGTGATTGGTCTTTGGGTCAGTTATTCCAACATGCCAGAATTATAAGTAGCTTCCCAACTGGTAAAAGCCAAATTCTGCCTGGGCCATCTTGCTGTTCTACCTTGCCAGCTCCATCTGGATGGTTGAGTGTGTATGGCTGGGGAAGGGAAGGGCAGAAATCTGCACTGTTACACTCTTGGCCAGCAACACTGTTAAACAAGATTCTGTGACTGAATAAGACCCTGAGTAGAACTAACAGGGACTGGTGTAAATCTTTCAGGCAAGGAAGACAACCCCATACTTCAGGTGCCTGTTACATGTGGACATGGCAGACCAGAAAGGAAGGAATCTGTCTATATGTATAGCCGCAAGCATAGGTCCTTGCCCTTCTCTGTTCTTACTTCATTTAACACAGTGGGCTTGTACTTGAGGCAGCATACTCCAGGATCCTTACCTCCAAGCTGAGCTCAGCAATTGGAAGCAGCAGTAAAAGATTAGGAACAGGCACAGGGAAAGACACAGAAATGGGTGTGTGTCATGTCTGATACAGCTCAGATCTTCAAATCAATCACTTTTGAAACCACTTATGATGTTTCTTTCATAATTCCTTGTAGCCTGCTGAAAATGCAGATTTTTTTCCCCTTCCTTTCAGTAGATAACAGAATTATTTAAGTTCTAAATGGAGACAATTTTGTGCATCCTTTGCAAAATTCTTTGAAATGAATTCTTGTCAGATAGACTTTCTTTAAAGATTATAATTGTGCGGTAAAATTAAGTTAAACAGATTTAACACTCTTGGCAAATTTCTCTTAAATGAATCCTTGTCAGATCAAGGTCTTTAAAGATTTTTTTAAAAAGTGTGGTAAAATTTAAACTGAAGAGGCTTACCACACTTCTTCAATTTCATGGTCTGCACGAGCTTGTTGGCCAGCTGGATCTGAAGGGTACTCTTCCCTAGAGATCAGTTCTTTAAACATAGACGTTGTAAGTTTTCTTTTCTGTTTCTGACATCATGTCATCTCTGTGCAGTGATGAGGGAGGACCTGTTACTACCAGGTACCTATTACCCTCACCTTCTCAATATAATTATTCTGTTGCCTGTGGCATTCAAAAGTACGTCTCCATTAAATAACATATTTTTAAAAATAGGAAGAAGATAAATACTGTAAAAATTCAAATCTAGAAAGAGGCAGTAATTCTCATCCAGATGTTGGTAGATATCAGTGTGGTTGTGAGATATTTTCAGGAGCATTGGTTAGGTCTTTAGCAAGCTGGAGGCACAACTCAAGGCCAGCTACAAGCTCACCGCCCTCCCCTAATTTTGTTCTAGTGTCTGTGATTCCTGTGTCCTCCTGTCTCCTCTCCTGGGATTCCTAGACTATACTTGGTGCCTAGTGTAATAATAGTTTATTTGACCCAACTACCTATCATCATTACAAAGAAGCCACACCAAACATTTTCTGTGCTATTAAGAATTCTCCACTGAATAGTTTCTAATGGCCTCACAGTACAGATATGGTATAATTTAATAAATCAGAGTTTAGAAAATAAATCTGCAATCCTAAGGTTATTTTTTAACACATAAAAATCTTCCTCCAGGCTCTTTCACACATACACAAATCCTCAAAGGAATGCTTTTGTATGTGAAATAGTTATAGCTGTCAATCAGTTATTCTCCATGCCATGGTTTCTGTGTGTCTTCCAGGTTGTTAGGGGGTGATTATGGATTCCTGTCAAATGATATGTCTACTATGTATTCAACATGAGGCAGTTTGTGTTTTTCTAAGTCTATTGCTCTCCTGTCTGAGGAGGTTAAGCAAATCTCAGTGATGCAGAGGGAAGAGGACCAGCATCCCGTGCTGTAAGCACACAGTCATGCCTGGGGCTCCTAGACCTGCACACACGGATTAGACTTCTGCATAAATACTCATCTTGATTGTCACATTCCACCCAGAGTTAGACCTACATGCATAAAAGTGGCTCCAAGCCTGGCTTTCAAAGCTCTTCGCCTCCCTTGTTGCTTTTTAACCACCCAGCTCAGAGACATTTTTTGTGTTGTATCTATCAAAGATGATTAAGGTACTGGAAAAGCTGATTTATAAGGACATATTAAGAAAAGTAAATATTTGCAGCCTGGCCCAAGGGAAGATATTATAGATGTTTTCTGGCCTCACATCATGAAGGAGACTTAGGTTTCGCTTTTCCCAGTAACTAGATTTTTAGGGATAACAAAACTCAGAGGAGTTTTTCTGAGTATAACCTCACTTATGCTTATTAGACGATTATGTTAAAAATTGTATTTAACTGCTACTAGCAAAGTAGAAATAACAGTAGCTTAATCAAAGAGGCCTTCATTTTCTGTTCCTCTGACCTGAAAACCAGAAGAAAATGTCTGGGGGGCTGAAGTGTGGTACCTATGATATCACAGTATGCTTCAGCCATCTCACCTTTAGGCTCCATCGTTGTTAGCTGTGACTTCCACTCTCGAGGTCTCCAGTTTGAGAAGAATCAGTGTAGCTCAGTTGCTATGGCAGCATGCCAGAAATGGAGTAGGCAAAATTAGTCCTTATCTACCACGATCCTCCTACACAACTCTGATTTCATATCACATGGCACTTAGTACCACATTTGCAAGTGGGCACTGAAATTTAATGAGATTGTTTGTTTCATAATTTTGACATCAGTCATACTTTCAACCACAATAATAAGAAGGGCCTTTTACCAGGTAAAACTAGAATAGTGAGAACTAGGTGACAGACCAGTGATTCCTGTGACAGTAATTCACTTCTAGAGTAACTGTAGTACTAGAAGTTTCCATCTGTCATACTACCCCTTGAGACTTCGTTCCCACTGCTCACTCTTACTATTTAAGTGTATTTATAAGTACATACCTTGAGTTGATTATAAATAACTAGCCTTATCAATGCCCCTAAGAAAATAATAACTAAAATATAAAATATTATGAATTCTGTTAGGTACCAGGCATTGTGTTAGGCACTTAAATATTCCTGGGCAGAGGATGAGGACAAAGGAAAGATAAAAGACTGTGTGTTCTTAGTGTTGAAACTGGAATGGCCATTGGATTTGTTAATATTCTGCTTTCATGATTATTGATACTTTCCCAATGAAAAGTTTTCAGAATCACCTCAACGAATCCTCATTTTATTTCAGAAGAGGTCAGTGCCATTACCACCAGATGCATCATGCAGGGAAGTCCGACATCTCACCTTCAGCAAGCAGCTGACTAGGGCTTCACACCTTAGTTTTCCAACTCTAAAGCCGCAGCACAACTTTTACACATACGGCTCTTGGAAACTAGTTAGATATATGCCACTTGGGGAGCCAGTTACCCCAAGATCTTTGCTCAGATCACAGGCAGAGTTTGTCAACACACTCAAATATCATATGCTCAGTTCATATGCTTTATTGCCTCTTAACCACAACTTATCCAAATCAGCCAGTCACCTGTAACTTTCCCTTTTAAGAACATAACCCTCTGTTGAAATGAGGTTAATCATGAGTGATGACTTAGTGTCAGACATCTTTAACATTTAATTCACAGCAGGGTTTCTGTTACAATGAACAGCACCTCTTAAGTGCCTGTATGTCCACTAAAAGTCTTTTTATTGTATTTTATGTTACTACTCACTGTTTACTTAAGCTGAAATTGTGGTTTTATATTTAAATAGAGCTTCCTCATCTGTTCACTAAGATTATTTGAGTTTTAAAAGCCTTTAGGACTTAGAAAAGGTTCCAGGCACCTCTCTCAACTTCCTCTGATGTCAGCTCTGCTTATCCACTATGTGTAACCTCACTCCTAGTCATCTCTTCTCATTTTAGCAGTCTCTCCCCTCCCCTTTCTCTCCCCCTCTCCCTCTACACCCTCTTAGAATAAAAGATTTGTGAAAATAAAGCAGTTCATTTTCCAAAATGTTACCCCTGCTGTGTCTGGGCATGTGGTCTCCAGAGTTCCTTTATTGCACTGTGTAACTTCCTCACACCCTTAAGAACATTTGAAGACAATGGGCTCTGGGAAATCCAGTGAGTTAAAAGATGCCTTCATTGCACTACTTTGCTTGTTCCTAGATTTTGTGTCATAACATGAATTAATCTTTTTTTTAAATATTGAGAATAATATTAGTTTAATGATATACAGCTAAGAACAATTTTTCCACATGAGCCCCATATGAATTATAGTCATTTTCAATTACAGTTGTATTTTTTATTTTCAAAAACTTGAAAACAATATTTATTATTACCCCCATGGGGTGGGAGGGAAGAGGGAGTGGTCAGAGGACAACTGTCTAGAGTCCGTTCTTTCCTTCTGTCATGTGGGTCCTAGTGATTAAATAACATGAATTAATCTTATATTTTATTTGCTTCAGATCCTTTTTAAAATAAGTGAATGAAACCTGTCCCCAGCCTTTGTCAAGCAGTAAGTGAGATGTGGCTTTGATTTGCTTTTCAGGGCAGCCTTTGGCAAGGAATCTGAAGTTCTAATTGGGAACCTTGGTGACAAACTTATTCCTCCACAAGACATTCTCCGTGATGTTAGTGACCTCAAAGCCTTGGCCAACATGCACGAAAGCCTGGAATGGCTGGCCGGCAGAACAAAGTCAGCTTTCGCCAACCTCTCCACATCTCAGAGTAGGTAACAAGAAGGGTGACAACTGCTACGGGATTGCAGGGCCAGACTGAGGGCTTCCGTTTGGAACATGAGTGTGTGCTTGTCTCTAATGGAGCATGCTCCAGGGTGTCAGAGCCGTGTGGGAATTTTGTTTACACTGCAACTCTCTCACTTTGAGAATCTGGGGAAGAACTCATCTCTGCTTCCTACTGTGGAGTATGAGAAGCCTGGCTTCATGCTAAACCCTAGAAACACAACATCATGTAAGATGGAAATACTGAGTCTCAAGAAAAAAATAAAACCAATTCCTTTTGTCTTCCTTCCAACAATTTCTCTTAGAGCCTGAATGCATGGTTACATTCTTCCTCTAACTAGATAAAAGTTAATAAAAGGTATCTAAAAAGAGAATAATAGAAGTGATTGAAATAGAAAATAGAGGTAATAAGGATGACTATTATTCTGGAAAAGAAAAAGAGAGATAACAGTTAAAGATTTCTAAGAAATTGAAGATTAGGATATAAAATAAAAATGATAACCCTTTGATCAAGGACCAATTGGTCAAAGGAAAATAATTAGAAAACTTTAAGGCACATGCACTTTAATTGCTATAAAATAAACGCTTTTATGAAGATTTATTTATGTATATGTATTTTTCCTGCATTTATGTATATTTACTGTGTCTGTGCCTAGTACCTGTGGAGGCCAAAAGCTGGTGTGGCGTCCCCTGGGACTGGAGTTACAGGTGGCTGAGTTCCCATGTAGATGTTGGGAACTGAACCTAGGCCTTCTGCAAGAGCAGCGAGTGCTGAACCATTAATAAATGCTCTTTAGAAAGCATTTCACATGTCCATCAGTATGCATGATGTAGAGTAGAGGCTGAGGAACAGTGGTGTGGATAAAGGAGAAGGCAAGCTTCTATGTGCAAATGGAGGGATGGAAGCAGAATAAGGAAAAGCAAACTCTTGGCAGGAAGAGAGCAGTAAGATTATCCCTGTCCTATTAGGGCTAGTAATCAGGTGGTCGTTAGGAAGAAACTGCCCGTGCTTATTGTGACTGTAAACTTTGGAATCAGTTGTTTATCAGTGCCCTGTAAGGTGTTTTTATTTTTTGGATAATCACAATTGCAGCCTAGAAATGCAAAAGGAGTAGATGAAATCTACTGAGGTGAACTGTTCCGTGAGACACAGGCCTGTAGCCTGTAAGAACCCTTGAAGGCTCATTGCTTCTACTCTCTAGTGCGGTCATATCTCCATCCTTACAACTGTTGCAGAAGCATTGTTCAGAGAGGAATCATATCATGTGCTTTGATTTTTTTTTAAAAGGTATACTTTTCACTTACACATTTATTTAAAATACTGTTTTATCTAATTATAAAAGTATACATATTCAGCCTCAGAAATCTGCACAAACAGAAATGTACCTGTTCGGGGTAGTTTGGGCCTGGTATTACACTTGACACGCTGCATAAAGAGCCATCTATGAAAGGCCACTCCAACTTTACAATCCCTAATCACAGTTCCTTCACAAGCAGCCACTGAAATCATCCCTTTTCTCTCCCAGGCCCACTCTGTTCCTCCTCTCTCTTAAAAAGTCAGAGTTAATTTCCTCTTTGCTAACTACAAACAGCTCTGAAAAGGGACCAGGTGTCTCTTTTCCTAGTTTCTTTTGGCTCCTGTGGATGCAGGCTTATTTCTGAGTGATGTTTAGAAGGGATGTGCTTGTTTGGTGGCATATCTATATCTATATATATAGCTACAGATATTATATATATAATATTTTATAATACATTTTTTATTTTGAGTGTCATACCATGCCAGATGTCTAATCTGTCCATTCTAAAAGGGTTTAACAAGACAAAACCGTTTGCAGCTAGCCACTGAGTAATGCAGACAAGCTAAGCTAACTTGACATCAACTGTTTTCTGAAGGAGAAAGATGCTCTCCAAGTTACACTTAACTTTGTAATTGCTCAATTTAGCTGTTGTGTTCATGTCACTGAGAGTACCCAGTGGAGTTGATGTCTAATTCATGTCTTTAATCATCTCTGTTATTCTGACAAAGATTTCTTCAACTACGCCCATTAGTACTGTGTCTAGTGTGCTCAGTTCCATTTTATAATACAAGTTCCACCCTCTCAGTTCCTTTCAGGGTGATTATTCCACCCAGTGAGTGATTTAACTAACTGTCATCAGTTTTAAAATCAGTTCACAACCCAAGTGAACTGTAATCACTACTTCTGGTATCTTTGTTAAAACAAAGCACCAAGCAAGCCTGACTTATCTTGCGAACAGTCAACCCATTTCGCCCCCACTTTCCAGGTTCTTGAATTCCCAGAGAGATGCCCAATGATGTTCGTCATTTGAACAAAGAAGAAGATTGTGTTATTGGCCTACTTTGATTGCCCCATGTCGGTGTGACTCTACATCAGAGTGTGTCTAAAAAAGGACAGCTCTTTATTATTGTTTTGAAAACTAGACCAAAAGATTACATCATCTTAAGTACTTCCAGGTCAAGAGACTAGAAAGCATGAAGCCCAGCAAGATGAGGGGGACCAGGCTTATTTCTTGTTCCGCACCCTGGTAACTCTTTGCTATGGTAAATGCCTTGCTGCATTAAACTCACATTACAACTGTAATGGACTAGAGACAAGTGGCAGAAAGTCATTTTCATTTTAAACATCTCTTCAGTCAAGTACAGCAGGATCCTCACCCATCTGAAACATGCCATGGCCTCCTGAGAAAATTATCATCTGTTGGTGGCAAAGTATGGTTGGTCACAGATTGTCCAGGAGATCAGAGTGAATGGCATTTCCAAGGGTGATTTTTTTCCTATTTATTTTAATATTTTCCTAAATGTCACTCTGTCTCCTTTACATGCGAAGGGATCTCCTTCCCTTTTCTAGATGCTGCCTGCAGAAAATATTGCTGTTACCTTTGGACTTCAACAGTCCATGGTTGCTGTTCCATCTCCTGAGGGTGTTCTCCTCCTCAACTTCTTTGCACATGTTCCCCTTAAGATTGTTTTTCAGTTGGAGAACAGAGAGAGAACCTGTCAATAAAGAGGGCTTGCTGCTCTTGCAGAGGACCTGAGTTTGGTTCCCAGCACCCAGATCAGCAGTGCACAGCTGTCTGCACCTACAGCTCCAGTGGATCCTATGTCCTCTCCTGGCCGCTGGGTTTGTGCGTGTGCTGTGTGTCTGCACACATGAATGTGGCTTGTGCGTGTGCTGTGTGTCTGCACACATGATTGTGGCATGGCATGTGTGTGGAGGTCAGAGGACTGCTTGCAGAAGTCACTCTCTCTTTCTGTCATGTGAGTTCTGGTGATCGAACTCAAGTTCTCAGGCCCGTTGATGAGCAAACGAGTATTCGCATTCACGGTGGACATTGCACATACCTCCTGCCACTCAGCCCTCTTCACCCGGCCTCCAGTAATCACCATTCTTCTCTAAACTTCTCTAAGGTGTTTAAGAAATATCTATTTGGGGATGCTGTACACTTTGTTTTTTATTGCCTTTTTTAAAAATTTCATATGCATTCTATCTGTCAACCCTTATTAGCAGTGTAGTTTGTCTCAATGTGTAAGTTGTCTGTTCACTCTGTTGACTTTGGCTCTTCAGAAGCTTTTTAGCTTAAGTTTAACACAATCCCAGTTGTCTGGTTTTGCCTTTGTTTCCTGTCGAAAGGACTGTCCTTTCTGCAGTATGATTACCATCTGTGTTGAGAATCAGGTGATTGTAAATGCCTGGCTTTATTTCTCGACTCTATATGGATACCTCTGATACACAGACCGGAAGGTGACTCTGGGGCAGGGTCTGCTCCGGCTGCTTTCTCACAGACTTCCTGCATTCTATCATGGATTTTGTTCAAATCTCCAGGATTAAGGATCTACAGCTTCCTTGGTCATAAACTGCATTGTGCTACTTACGCTAAATTCCTACTTAGGAGGCCATATTTTTCTATTAAGGCTATATTCCTTAGTCCTTTATTCATGGTTATGTTTTATTCAAAAATCCAGTGTTCAACATTTTCTCTTTAAACGTATCTAAAGGGCTGGAAATGTAGCTCATTCAGTAAACTATTTGCCTAGCATGCACAGCACCCAGGTTCAATCCCCAGTACCCCATAAAATAGGAATTGTAACACTGGCCTGTAATCCCAAAGTTTCAGAGTTGAAGGCAGGAGGGTCAGAAGTTCAAGGTCCTCTTCAGTTAATTAGTTTTGATCATTTTCTTCTCGTGCCTCAACAAGATTTCTATGTCTTAGGTACATGGAATTATTACATATATCTCTTTTGAAATTCATCTGAGTTGTAATCAATATTAATGTGTCACCCTTTATTTTGTGTTACATTTTCTAATTAGAAACTCTATCTTGTTATGCTACGTAATCTATTCTAGATCTATCACTGCGCCACACTGTCTCCACTAGCCTACAGGGCTATTTCAATTAAGTTAAAATGTCATTTTCTCTTTCTGACCACTTCACTTCATCATCAGCTCACTCTATTAAACATTGCTGCGGCTCGTCCTCCCACCCACTGATGAATGTTTTAACAGTAAGTCCGTATACTCTGCCTTTGCAGCATACTCGAAACCTGAATAACTCTTTGAACTGTTCAGCCCTTAAATCACATATGCACCCCAACAGAGATATATGTTATGGGCCCTCTATTTTCTAAGCTGTTTTTTTCTGTTGGGAAGGGGTAATTGATCACATAATCTCAGTAAACATGGTAGTAAAAACTCATTGAATATGCCTCCCTACCCTAAATCTACAAAGGTTTCCAATGTATTGACTAGGCTACAACAGCAATAAGAGTTTAGCAGACTTATTTCTCATGGGAATCCTCTAGCTGCAAGGGTGCTCACAGACCCTTCCCCTATGAACCAGCTTCTTGGCCTCGCAGTTCAGTCCTATAGGGCTAGGATATGGTTGAGGGCTCCTGTTTCTCCCCTCCTTGTCAGGCACAGAAGTTCCACAGCTGCAGGGACTTAATTCTTTATTTATGACAAATTTGTA